ATGAGATCACATTTTGTTATATGTTATGCAAAACAGAAAACTACTTCTATAGTTTAATACTGTGCATTTCAATGTAGCAGTGGAATCAGACATGTGTGCTTTAAGTTCTTGGTTGAATCTTGAATTAGTCAATCCCGTTTTGTTTTATATTGTATTCTTGTATTTTATGATAATTATGTCCTATAATATATTGTGCGAAATTTATTATTTACAATATATTTAGATTAAGTTTTTGGGATAAACGTGCAAAACATGTTTCCTAAACTAGTATTATTAAAAGTGAGAAGATGCAAGATTTAAAGTTAGACTACCATTTTATCACTACACTAAATATTTTATTACACATCTAATTAATAAAATATTAAATAATAATCATATCACATTATATTAAATACTAAAAGTGGGAATAATCATATCATCATACTTATTCCTATATGATATACTATTAATCTTACATTGAAAAGTAAATTTACCTTTTAAAAAAAAATAATTTTTATCAACATGATAAGTATTTAAATGAGAGAGAAACGTGTGAAAATACTTAATGAAGTCTATTCATACACTTTGGGTTATTTTCTCTATTAAAGGTCAAGAATTTATTCATACTACTTTTTTTTTCCAAAGAAAACCATTAAATCTTTTCATTACAATTAATATTAGAATTTAGAAGTCCAAAAGTATATGGTCCTTCAACAATATTCCCTCTGTCCCTAATTACTTGTCCACTTTTGAATTGACACACCTATTAAGAAAATAATGATTGACATAGTGAGTTTACCATTTTACCCCTATTAATTATGTAGTGGATGAATTAAAAACTTAAGAGTTTCAACAAGCTCTACATTTTTCAAAGTAATTAATTAAGGTTATAATAGGTAAAAAAATTATCCTTTCTTGATTTGTCAAAATGGACAAGTAATTAGGGACAACTAAAAAAGGAAAAGTAGACAAGTAATTAGTGACAGAGGGAGTATCTTATAAAAGAGAAGTTGACCAATAGATTATCACAATTAAGTTTACAACTCTTTCTTGGCCAAAAATGTTGGTCTTGTTTTCTGTGTTAACGTTTCCTTTGATTCTCTATGTCTAACAATAATTGTCCACAATTAACTTGACATACTCCTTAAAAAATAATAAATAATAAGGGTAATATAACTATATTATTTTTTGACTTTATTAAATTTAATGCATTGAAATATGTTAAATGATAAATAATATTTAATAGCAAAGGTAAAATAGACACAAAAGATAAATATCTCTTGATTTTTTAAATTGAACAGGTAATGTTAGACAACTATTTTTAGTATAATGGACAACTATTACGGGAGGAGGGAGTAAATGTTTTAGTGAATTGGAGCTTTACTTTTAAAAGTATTTCACCAAGGAACTACTCCCTCTGTCCAAGTTATGTGACACTTTTCATTTTTCGAGAGTCAAACAGTTTAAATTTGACCGATAATTTGCGCATGAAATCTTCAAATATTTTAAAATGAAATTTATATATTTATAAACTACGTAAAAATTACTATAAGTCACAATAATTGTCAATTCAAAATATTTAAAAGAATTATGAAAAAATTACGGTCAAAGATAGACTTGTTTGAATCTTGAAATTTGAAAAATTGAAAAGTGCCACATAAATTGGGACGAAGAGAGTAATTTTTCTCTCATACCGTTTCTGTACATTTTCATTATGCACAGATGATGTAAATTTAACTATGTTTTTTATACGAAATTGCAGGAAAATATGGAAATGAGCAGTGCTTTAAAGGAATCTATTGGGAGTCGCCTCGGGGCTCGTTTTGGGGCGGGGCTCTAGCAAATCGCTTTGAGACTCAAGTGTGGGGCTTATTTCTGTAAGACTTACATTCTAAGTTTTCGACTGTACGCCCTAAGCATGTCCAACGTCCAACACTCGGGGCTTGCCTAACAGATCTTATACAAATTATGTGTTAAAATCATTAGTTAACATTGTTAACCCTCATAATTCTTGAATAAATGAATGGTACGTAATAATTTTTTAATCTATAGAGATAAGAAGATTGAGAGAAACTCAAATAACAAGTTGCAGTATCACATTTTTACTACTTCGTAACACTGTGAAGGTGATTTTATATTATGTAACATTTCTTTTAAAAATACGTAGCGAAATTTTACTTTCACTTATCATTGGTCTTCATGATTTTGTCATATGTCTCAATATTATCATATTTTATTTAGCTATTTGAAAGTAATTTTATTTTTATTCATGAAGGAGTGATGTTTTTACTATAATACTAGTAAGTTCATTGATTATTTTCTTTTAGGAGGGCAAATTGTATAGTATGATAAAAAAAATTCTAGAAACAATGATTCTTTTATTACTAGGAAGTTAAGATATTAGATTATTTATACCTGTATAGTCATGTTAGAAGTTTTATTTTCTATGAGTTTCCTTAATCATGTTTGTAATTATTTCAAA